AAGGTCAAATTCAGGACCGGGGACATAGGCCTTCGAGAACGTCGACGAAGACATAGGACGGTAGACGACGAAGACGACGAGTTCAAATGTGATTGCGGCTTCGAATGCGAAGACCGTGTTCATGTAGTCGCGGAATGTCCGTGGCACAAGAAGGAGAGGGAAGTTTACGTGACTGAGCTGGGAAAAATAGATGGGACGTACAGGGAGATGTTTGAGGCATGGAATAGAGAGGAAAGGACGGTAGTTGTACTGGGGCATAGGAGATGGGTTGAAAAGGCGGGAAGGGATATCGTTAGGATAGATAGACTAGGGAAGACATGTTTGAGCCACCTTTGGCAAAGTAGGAAGGAACGATTGGCCATCGGCGATCGGTCCTGTGGGAACAATGCTCCGTCCTCTGGAGGATGCGTGGTCAATGGTCTAACCGCTAAGGCATGCAAAACATAAGAGTACGCCCCCCCCAACCCCCACCCCGCCCCTCCATGTTTGTCCTCTCACCCGAAGCTCCAGCAAGCTGGTCACCGCCCGCATGAACTCCCGCTGCCCTCGTCGCGCTGCCGAGGCCGTCATCGGTGCGCCGGCATTGATTCTGCCCCCTCCCCCCACCCCTCCGCCGCCTTCCGCCGAGATCTTTGTTCCCATCGCCACGACGTTGCCGAGGAGAAACGCCTCCGTCGAGCAGCAAGACACGGGCGGGGGAGGGAGATGAAACGTCCCCCAGTGGCCGGCGCCGCCGGCGCCACCCCGACTCCTCATATTCCCCTCTTCGGCACCAGGACCGGCCGCTGCCGATGCATCAGCGGCGGCACTTTGCGCTCGGCCTTTTCCTCCGCGCTCGCCGTCGGCGGCCGCGGCGGCCACCATTTCCACTCGGAAATCTCTGAGGCAGTCGAAGAACGCCTCCGCCCGCTCCTTGAGCAAGAGGTTGACACCGTCGACGCCTAGCCTGGATGGCAGGAGCGGCACCGACAAGATCTCCGCCACGAACGACGCGCGGAGCGGGACCGCGGCGGTGGCAGCTGACGGCGGTGGTGGTGATCGAGAGAGAGGTGAAGCGGCGAGGGCGACGGTTGCGGCAGGAGAAAGGCTTCCAACAGCGTCGAGCGCCTGGCGGCGGAGGCGGCGTCGCCGGCGCACGAACACGCGAACATCAGGCGTGGATGCGGACGAGAGCGTGAGCGGGGTGGGGGGGTGAGGAAGTGATCCGACCATAGTGCCAGCCAAGCATTTGGTCCGCATAAAGATGCACCCACCACAAAATACAATAGACGGGGAAGAACGGATGTCGAAGAGTACGCGAACGCAAACATGGGGCCACCGAACCATTCATATACACACACCCAAGCGTGGGGTTAGATTGAAGTGTCTCGCAAAAATGAGAATACCCTCGTGTTGGCCATCCTAATGTATGAGCTCTGGTCGGCACAAACCAAAGAATCACACAACACACACACGCAGCCATCCAACAACAGATAACACAGCACTTTACGAGATAGGAGCAAGAGTCACCACGTACCGTCAACGCCAGCTCCCAGGACCCAACAATCGCTCCCTGTCGCCCGGGGGGCGGCTTCAATTGTGTCGTCGTGCCGGCTGAAGCGATCGCCTTTCGCTCAGTAGGCCCGCCGATGAGTACGTTCCTCAGGGTGGAAAATAGACCTAGCTCGAACACCTAAATTGATTCCCGCAAATTGGCAAAAAACACAGTCAGCTGTGTGTTGTATTCGGGGGTGCCGTGGGGTGTCATGTGTGTGTGGGCGGGGTCCACTCTTCTCGCGGCGGCGCCCGAGAGATCGGTTTTGGGGAGTGCTGCCACCCGGGTCACACAACCATCCCGCGCTGCCCGCCAGAGGTTCTTCTCAAACAAGGGAACGGGCGTAGTCCAAGCCGAAAATACTTAGGGGCAAGCGTGGGCAGCAAGCACGTAACACACAGCACCCAGCTTCCCAACAATCCTTGCCAAGAAACACCATTCCTTCTCACCAGAAGCTCCATGCAGCACCGCGAAACCGCCGCCCTGGCCTCCATAGCCGGGGGAGTCATCGTCGGCTCGGGCATACCGCTGGGGCACGCCACGTGGCCCCTGCTCCCGGTCAGCATGAGCAGGATCTTGAGAGGGCTATTGCCGTCGCTCACGCCCTGAATTGGAGGGAGTGAACCGTGAGGGTAACGGGCAGGGAGGTACGTATGCTTGGCGTGCCCCCTTCGCGCAGGCGCCTCTGGTTTCAGTGACGCACAAAATGACAGAGCTGCCGATGGCAAGAGAGTCGTTTTCCCCGCGGCAGGAGCAAGAAACTCATACAACAAAAACGGCACAACCGGCTATGACAGCGCACGCTTTGCAGGACACACACGCGGTTTTACCGTGCACAAAAAGGTCTCACCTTGTTCAGCTCCCTCTCGGTGTGGTCCAGGCATGCAGCGAGAAGCCTCCGGAGGCGGAGCCTGAGAGCCGGGTCCGCCGATGTTGCCGTTGTCCCTCTCCCCGCCGCGCTAGCGGGCTCGGCGACGATGCCGGCGAGGTGGGCAGCCGGATTCAAGGATGGGTCTGCCTGCAAGACGCAGAGGGTCAGCACCGACTCGCAGAAAAGGCAGAGTCGGGCGGCATCCTGCTTACAACACAGGAGTGCGACGCGAGATTAGGGGGGCGGGGGTGGGAGAGGGTCCGAACAAGGCAGGGCGGGGAGTAGGGCGGTTCGATGGAAGCAGGCTAGGCTTGGCCGTGCGTGTCGCACACATCGAATAGAAATCTTCTACCGATGGCACACATCGAATGGAAATCTGCGTATACTTGGTGTGCCCCTGGCGTACAGCGGGGGGAAAAACGCGCTCCCTTCCCCGCATCGACTCGCCCACGAGGGCCTAAGAGAGACCCATCCTTCAATTTGGTGCTCTGCATGTGTCGTCGTTTCTCTCTCTCTGTGCGACGAACGACATAGCAATAGCACTGCTGGCCAAACGGACATGCTTGTCAAAGGCAACGCGTCAAGCAAAGCAACAGCAGTCAAGCTCTGAGCACTGTTGTTTCCTGTTTCCGACCTGTTCTCTCCGATAAAAGAAAATGAGCTGCTGAAGGGCCATCAGGACGAACTTCACCGGAGGCGTGAACGGAATACCCCTGCCATCACGTCAGACAGCGTGGAGGGCGGGGGGGCGGGCGGGTGAACGGGGAGGGGAGCAAGGGTGAGAAGACAACAAGGATACCCAGTTTCGATATGGACAGGTACTGTGCGTTTTCTGTTGGATGCATCTCAGGTATTCGGGGGTAAAATATTGCCTGCAGCGTTTGGCACCTCGGCTCAGAGTTCATATCGGGAAAAACATCAAACCAAACCAAATGCAATCCGACGCTCAACTATGAGGGAACTCACCGGGCGACAAGCGTCTGCTGGAGCTTTCCGAAGTCGGACATCTTCCTGTCCCAGTCCGCCCGCTCCGAACCACGGGCTGCCTCCGCCGCTGATCGCCCGCGGAACCAGCTCTGAATGGATACCGCCTGGCCGCGCGAGGCTCTCGCTTTCTCGCGCTGAGCGCGCTCTCGCCTCGCCTTTTCGAGAACCTCATCTCTGCCCTCGCTCCCACGAGACGACCTATCATATGCAGTTGTTGGACCGGAGCCGGGCGGTGGGGCAGGCAAGTGGACGTCGCGGCGTAAAGGGGATGCTTCGTCAGGCTAGAAACAAAGCTTTCGCTCTGTACGAGCTGCACCAGGAAACGTCTAACATACGAAGATACACCTCCACACATCTGAAAAAGCTATCTATAAAGACAGAGGAGCCTTAGCCATAGAGCGAGCAATAATTATCCGATACAATACGGCATCCATCCCTGCTGAAGAATACGACCACAACAGTCGCCATCGCCAGCCGGGGGTGGTGGCCTAACTAAACTGCTGCAATCACTTGTGTTTGCCGTCGCAGTCCCCAACTGCGGCGTCCTCACCCCAAGCAACAAAGCAGCTGCAGCTGCAAAAAAGTCCAGTCTCTGGCAGGCGTCACTTGACCTTCACAGCAGCGGTTAAAGACTTCAACACATGCCGGTTAACAGCTGCTTTCATGCTGCAGTTTTATGATTGCTCTAACGGATCGACAAAAGCTAATGTGGAGAACACCTAGATTGAAACTCCCCAACGTCTGTAGAGGACGAAATCCTCTTTTCCGCAATGGCGTCGACAAAAGATGTCAGATGCCTGCTTTTGGTTGCAAAACACACGGGTTCACAACCCGCTGCTCACCTAATCTTCTTCCGGAGTACGGAAAAAAAGGAAAAACGGTGGGTGTGCCAAGAAAACGATGGACTGCTGTGTGTATCGAACTCCAAACTTTTCACGCATCGGAAGTGGTTCACGCGCACACACGCACAGAAGATTGTTGGAAAAAAGGTGTCGTCCTCGACAGACGTTGGGGAATTTCAACCTTTTTCGAGGCTTCTTCTTGTTTGCTGGGCAAGATAAATCTTCTTGGGGTAACCGGAACCCGACCGGCTGGCGGCGAGTAGAACCGCCTTTTTTCCAACAATCTTCTGTGCGTGTGTGCGGGTGAACCACTTTCGCCACGCATTGCCAGAAGTTTCGAGTTCGATAGACAGCGCATCGTTTCTTGGCCCACCCACCGTTTTGCCTTTTTTTTTCCGTACTCCGGAAGAAAATTAGGTGAGCAGCGGGTTTTGAACCCGAGTCTTTTTGCAACCAAAAGCAGACACCTATCGTCTCTTGTCGACGCCATTGTGGCAAAGAGGGTTTCGTCCGCGGCAGACGTCGGGGAGTTTCAACCTTTATGAAGGTGTTCTCCACACCACCGCTGAATGATTGCTCTAACCGATCGACAAAAGCTACCACCGCCACGCGATGAGCGCAAGCCTCGCGACGTCTCCATCATCAACACAACGAACATAACTCCGCCCTCAACATACGAAGCTCTCCTAGAACCCCACCATTGCTGTTATAGAACTGCCGCCTGTGAGAACCTATTCTACCGTGTATTATATACATTCATATAGATATAGAAACCTTCATCCTGGACGCCGAGAGGCGCTCTCGTGCCTGCATTTCGAAATCCTGCGCTCTCGTGCGCCTAGTGCTCTTTTTTTGCGATTTCTCCGCGCCTAGGCCTCCAATCGACGCAAGACCTGCGACTGCCGGTAGCCCCGCGCTGCGAGGGCCTTGCCGGCGCGCGCCTCGCGGTAGGGGCGCCCGTGGCGAGGCGCTAGCGAGCGCGCAAAATCGCGTCTACGAAGTCTACGGCTCCTTCCCCAATCAAACGCGTAAATCTTAACAGCGACCATTCGGCTTTCGGGGTCTTTTGGGGCGACGGAGCGACAGTCCCTACATAATCCCTCCAGCTGGCTTTTTTCCTGCTGAATGTACTTTTGGTGCTGAATTACACAGTTTCTCCGCTGTCTCCGCTGTTGAGTCTGCTTAATGTACGTACACAATAAATTTCAAAACTTCCCGACGGCGAATTACATAATTTCCCGACGGAGTTAGTTCTCACGTTTCAGAGTTTCTCCGCTTTTGATTGATCGTTGTTTTGGCGTGAGTGATTGGTTCTGTAAGTACGAACAGGTTGTTTTGTTTTCGGCAGAACTTTTACTATCTTCATCCGGCTTTATGTTCGGGAGGACTTTTACTATCGGAATCGACGGCGAATTACATTATTTCCCGACGGAGTTAGTTCGCACGTTTGAACAGATTTTCTCCGCTTTTGATTGATTGTTGCTTTGGCGTGAGTGATTGGTTCTCTGAGTACGAACAGATTGTTTTACTTTCGGGAGAACTTTTACTATCTATGTTTATCCGGACAAGGAGATACAGCAGTCTAAATACGAACAGTAGCCTCGTTCATTTCTGGTATATTTTCGGGAGAACTTGTACTACTTTAGCCTCGCAAGAAAAAGATCTGCAGTCTCCAAATACGAACAGGTCCTCGTTCTTTTCTGCTTTTATGTCCGGGATAGCTTTTCCTATAGTTACCGTCACAACAAAAAGATGTGGCAGTCTCGAAATACGTGCTTGCTCACCCCGACCAGCATGCATTACCCTCCTATCCGAATCTTCAACACATCTCCTTCGACGCGTGGGATCTTCCCAGCGGAAATACGGCAAATTACGGGACGTTTGTCGCGCAAAAAAAAACGTCGCCGCCCTTCCCGCGCCACAACCAACCTCTCTCGCCCGCAACGGCTCGAGGCATGTCTAGCTTCTTGGAACAAAACTCCCCCCACAAGAAACCCAAGCCCGGGCACACCTCTGACGGTGGTGCGTCTGGCGACGATTTCAAGCCTGCTACCGAGGGTTCCCAGGCCGGGTGTGCATTCTGTGCAAGTCCTCCCTCGTGCACAAGTACCGCAAGAACGGGCGCCCGTTCGTCTGCTGCTCAAAAAACAAGCTAGACGACCCAACGTCCTGACAGTTCACGGTCAACAAGTTCGGCGAAGACAAGAAGAAGGAGGGAGAAGAGCCCGACATCGCCTGCGAAATCTGCAAGGTTCCTGTGGAGCACGTTCTCTCTCTCGGCTGGGCGACTGGAGAGATCAACCCGAAGACCGTCAAGAAAGCCAAGTCTCTGTCGTCTGACGTAGGTGCTCCCACCGAGCTTTTGCGATATTTCTCTTCCCTGCCCTTCGACCTTACCCTCTACACTGCCGCCGGTTGCAACCGCTAGACTAACGCCGCTTGCTGGCATTCTATTGTCGGCAGCTACACGCTTATCGCTCTAGAACCCACGTTTTTGGCAGTAATTTCTCGTGCGCGTCCACACACACATACATTGCGCCATGTTTTTTGTTCTCTCGCAAACCGGAGACATGCATGGTCTTACTCCCTTCAACAGCCTCTTCAATCCGCGTTCGCCGTTTTCAATTAATTGCATTCAGTGTACAAGAACTGCCAGCCACGCGTACTTCGACGACTGTCTCGCCAAGAGGGGCGTCGACCCCGTCACGAGGAAGAACGTTCTAGTGCAATGCACACCCGCGACCGGCTCCATCGTCGGGGTGAGTTTTTCCTTTCGTAATGATCGCTTTTTTTTTTTAAATCAACCCCCCCGAGGGGAAATTGACGTACCAGTGGGGGTTGGTGGTTATTTTTCTCGGGGGGTCGTGGTCACTCGTTTTACCGTGGATGGACTCTAGGGATTACTTTAAGAACACAAAACAACCAAGCGCTTCAGGAAGGCGAATTGTCGCGGTATAGGACAAACCTCGCTCGAAGCGCAGTTCTGGACATGAATTTTCCACACCGTATCATGCTTTTTGTGCTTTGCTTTATGTGCTTCGACATGCAAATAAAACACTCACAAGCAGCGCCAACTGCATCACAATCTACAACAAATAACGTATGCTTCCAGGTCGACAAGGTAATGGGCGGGGGAGGGAAACTCTACTCCGGGGGAGAAATTCCGACGTTTACAGTAGGTGTACCCACGTGCCGGACCTCCGCCTTGGTAATACATACTCACATCCCTTCAAAGCAGACCATTTTCACCTGGGTACTTTGTCTCATCGCCTGTCCACTGCTTATTGTGTTTGTTCAAATCAGACCACCTGCTCCGCCTACAACCCGGACGACATTTTCGAAGACCTCAAGGAGGGCTGCACCGGGAAGATCGAGGACAAGGCCGGCATAGTGCGGTTCTGGCTGCTCAAGGAGCACCCGGAAGGACTCCACATCCGCTGCGCCAAGCGCAAGCACGAGGCTCTGGTGCGTTCTAACTTTTCTTAATGTTAAGCGTTTGTCTCTGCTCTCCATCCTCTCGTGTTCTGTATTGTTTTTGTTGTGGAGTTCTCGAGAGCATCTCTATTCAAGGAGAACCTCAGGGACTCCACGTGCGGTGCGCCAAACGCAAACACCAGGCTCTGGTGCGTAACTTTTCTTCCTTTTGTTCAGCGTTTGTTTCTGCTCTCCATCCTGTCGTGTACTGCATTGATTTTTTGTAAAGTACTCGAGAACATTCCTGTTTCTCGCGGTTTGATATGCCATCCGTGCCCTTTCAGGTGCCTTCCAGATTTCTACTGTGAACTGATGCGCCCCACAATCTTTTTAGGCTCTCCATTTTGTCGCCTCTCGTTCTCCAACATCACCAACGCAGATCGCCGGAGCCCTCGCGGAGAAGGCCCACCGCAGGACCATCCGCATCACTGCCGAAGAGGAGGCCCTGGCCCCGTCCGCCGAGACCTCCGCGAACAATGCCGTACAAACCGTGCCCGCCGGTTACGTACCTTACGTTCTTCCAACTCAGACCCCAATTCAAACCCCGCAAGACAACAATCAACTCGATCATCAAACTCAAACCTCGCAAGGCAACAATCGAACTCGGAACCCGCAAGAGGGCGAGCAGCTCGTCGTGCTATCCTAGACGAACGAAGACGTAGCCGCACCGCCACCTCCCCCAACGATTCAGCACGTGCACTAGTGCGAGACCACTTCACACGTATGCGTTCTCCTAGACACTCAACCCCCTTCCATCAAAGTCCTGCTTTCAAAGGAATCCGTCCGTTCAACTCACCCAAAGACGAACAGCCAGTTACGACCTTCGCATACAACGACCTAGAAGACGAACACAATTATGTGTGTCCTCATTGTGGATCCATG